GTTTTTCTAAACCCTGACTTAGAGTAGTATTTAAGAGCATTTGCTTTGAAGTCAGACAGAACTGAGTTCAAATTAGTGCTTTTGTCAAGATTCATTTATATGAAACGATCCATATAAAAGCATTTAACACCATGCCAGATATAAACACTCAAATGTTATACATATATGTATATATACGTATTTTAAATTCTCATGCATAGCCAAAAATTGAAGCTGTATATTCATCCACTTTTTTCCCCTAAGAGGGTCTGAAATCCTATTTCATTTTAGTTCTCATTTATCATCTATACACAAACACAGTCTCCTGATTCAAGCATAATTTATCTATTTACTATCTATCTATCTATCTATCTATCTATCTATCTATCTATCTATCTATGACCTACCTACCTACCTACTACCTACCTATCTCTGACCTTGGAAATCTAAAAGGGCACTGCTATCTTTGCCTTCTCTTTCTTACAGCTGAATACCCAACATGTGACCCATTCTACCCTGTGCAAACAGATTGTCCTTGGGTTCGCAGTGGTTTGAAAACATATGGGAGTCTACGTAAGGCAGGCTGTCACAGTGCCCCAGGTCTTCTGTGTTCTGTTTCTTTGCCTTTGTTCCATGATCCAACAGACAGGTCATTTCAAAGAAATCAGCCTTATTCCTGATTGTTATCTGCAAAATCAGCCTTATTCCTGATTGTTATCTGCTCTGTGGATTAGTCTGAAATGGAGGTTTCTCAGCTAAATGCAGACTACAATTCTGTTAAAAAGGATTCACAAATGAGTGAGGAACTAGAGCAGATAACTGGTAAAATTCTTACTCTGAGGTTCTACAGAGCCCACTGTGGTCTGTAGCGTTCTCTCCATTCCATTTCATGGCCCGCTGCTCACAGGGAGTGGTGAAGCTGTTGGTCTCCATCCGAATCATCATATCAGGCCAGAGTAACGACACTCAGTGAACTGCTGCACCCTTACTAACATTTTTGTCAAAGAGCACGGGCTGCCTGGTGATGGTATTTATCTTCCAACACCCACAGGCTAATTTAACTTGTTCAAAAATCAGACTCCTCATTCTCATTCCCTGTCCCCAGCCTGTTCCCCCAGTGGTGTTACCCATTTCAATATATGACAACTCTGCTTCTTCTACCTGCTAGATCAAAAACCCTGAGGTAATCCTTACCTACTCTTTCTTTCAGAGTCTTCATTCAATCTATCAACTAAGTTTGTCAGCTTGACCTTCAAAATATATTCAGAATTTGACCTTTCCTTGTTGCCTTCATTGCTCTGAGGTATCATGATTTCTCACCTGGATTACTGTCGAATAATCTCTGAATCTGAATCAGTCTCCCTGCTTCTAGCCCTTCTGTGATCTAACCCACAGAGTTGCCTAAGTAATTTTTTATAAAGTAGGTCACATCATTTCAGTCCTCTGCTCAAAATCTTTCACTGGTTTTATATATGAAACCAGCCCCCCATATATACCAGTTTTCACACATATATGCATATTTGTTTTGTTTTGCTTTGTTTTTTGAGACAGGGTCTCATTATGCAGTCCAGGCTGGCTTTGAATTCATGGCAATCCTCCTGCCTCAGCCTCCCAAGTTCCGGGACTACAGGCATGTATCACCACACCCAGTTTATTTACCTGATATATTTACTTAATTTTATTTTGCCTCTTCTTCCCATAAGAATACAAGTTTCATGAGGGCAGGAACTCAGTTTTGGTTCACCATTTTATCTCTAGTACTCAAATTATTGCTTGACATGTAGCAGGTGGTCAATAATAAGTTAACTAATCTTTCTCCCTAACTTATAAACTCCCTGTCAAAGAAACTTTTCTATGTTTATCTATGTATTCCTAGAATCTAAACTACCTCCTGAACACAGAAAGTCTTCAGATAATGTATGCTACAATTAGGAATGCAATGGCAATTCAGGAAATCTTGATGCTTCCCTTCTAAGGCTTCAAAGTTCTGGGCCCAAGGCTTGTGCCATAAGACATCATCCTAGACTGCTTTGGACCAGGTATTAAAGATCAGCTACTTCATGGTCAATTTGCCTTACTATCTGTTACCATCCTTTTTTAAGCCTCTATTCCTAATACTAGTCAATTTGGCTATATGCAGAATCAATCATAGGAAAGAAAAACTCTCTACTGCCAGACAAAGACATGGCCTAATGGACACAGGTCGGTAACTAGGTCACATATAAGAGATAGCATTTTTTTAAAAAAAAAATTACAAGTCTTTAGCATAAATGAGAAAAGCTTCTATGAATCTAGTAGCTGAAACAAGAGAAATTAGAATACACAAAATGCCAAGAATGAAGATGTTTTTCTCAAACGTCATCAAGATTTTATTAAAAAATGGCTGGGTATAGTGGTACATGCCTGTAATCCTAGCATCTGAGAGGTTGGGGAAGGAGGGCCATCTTGAGTTCGAGGCCAGCCTGGACTACATAGTGAGACCTTGTCTCAAACAAACAAACAAAAACAAAATTAAAAAAATTTACTTACTCAGCTCTCTGGCTTTAGTTCTTAATCTAATACAAGAGGAACAATACAAATGAAAGGATGAGAGAGCCAGACATAACAAACGATTAATTTCCACAGCAGACTTTGTAGCAGCCAACTCCACACACCTAAGGATTAGGTGAAGGGACTTTCCTGGGGCCAAGGGATCACGACCATCTTGAATTACCTCTGGTGTCCTCTGCCAAGCCAAAAAGGGCTGGCAAGCTGATATTGAAGGGTGAACATTATAGAAACAGATGGTATGAGGTAGATAATTCAGAAAAGCCAGCAGCACAATTCAAATACATTTACTAGGAGGAGGAAAAACAGCCCACTATCTTCACAATGCTCACACTGCAAAGCCATGAAAGCTAATTTGTCTTCTCTCCTCCTGCCCTCCCCTTTTCTGTCCCCCTTCTATTGAGACTGTCTTGTAAACTACTTCAAATACAAAGTATTCAATTAAATCCTAACACCCTCCAAGTTTAACTTCTAGAAAGAGAAAATAGAGTCAATGCTGGTCTCTTCTATCAGATATACTTCTAAAACAGAGTGATAAAAATGTACTTCTAAAGTTACTTGAAAGATTGTACCGAGGCAGCAAAATCAGTTCCAAGAGAGCTTAAAATATGTTGTCTCACCCCAGCACTTGCAACTCTCCTACCCCTGCCTGGGTTTCTGTGACCTGCATTCACTTGCACATTAAAGTGAGAACAGTGACAGAGGGAAATCAACTCCAGGATAATGGGTACAGAAAGTGTGAACCATGGTTCAGGGCTTCATAGTCAATTGCTGTATGTCCTATGTATGGCCATCCCCTGCTTCTTGAGGATACTTCCTCCTTTCAGCCTAATGGTATGTTTTGTGCTGTCAGATCCTGGTGGCTCAACTAGCACAAAATGGAGTCAGAAAAGTAGATAGGATTTTTCTTACATAGCATGAAGTAGTAAAGCAAGCCTAGGAAAGATGCTGAGATAGTTCCTTGGGTGTGTGTGTGTGTGTGTGTGTGTGTGTGTGTGTGTGTGTGTCCTTAATGATCCAGAACAACCAAATATCAATATCTTAAATCCAGCACAAAAAAGTCCACATTTTAATTCTCCCAATAATTCTCTCTTTACTGATTCCTAACGCTTCTAGGAACTAGAATTATTTTGGTCTAAAGGAAAGAAGACAGATCTGGTTTGCCAAATGAATCTAGGTTGCTTTAAAGGTAAAAAAGGGAAGAAAGAGGAATACATTCCAATCACTCATCACTCTCAGCGTGATCAAATCATGCCATTCCATGGCTTGTACAGAAAATATAACTTTAAAAAACTGAGCAAGATAATTGGAACAGATTTCCCCTTGCACATGAGTAACCGTAGGGAGGAAAAATCTGGCATTGGTATTGATGTATCATTAGAACCGTTAAACAAAAAAGTAGACACAGAAACTCTGCCCTCCACTGCCAATCCTGGGCAGAAATGGCAATTTGAGTGAACCAGGGCCAATAAGCATATCCAAAATGAAACATTCCAAGAACTCAAAATATGAAAATACTGGAAAGATTATGGACAGCACTTCTTTCATTTGTAAAATATATCTAATTAACGTTTCATAAATTATTCTCCAGATGAATAAAGTGAGTATGAGCTCAAGAAAACCATCAAAGCACACGGAGAACAGTCCAGATAAAGCAACAAGGTTGTACATGGCCCAGAACGCTTACAATGACTGAGGGATGAGAATCAGGAACTGTAGTTCCCTGGCAGCCCTTGGCCATCTATCCTCCCTCTACAGACAGAGGGAAGCATGGTCTTTGAATCCAAGGTTCTTTCAGTCCTGGGCTTCTTCTACTTAATTCCAAGAAAAACTGACCCCGTCAGAAGAAAGACTGCACCAGCCCCTGCTCCAACTACGCGCACACATTAGCGGTCAGTGAGACGGAGCAGCCTGGCTTTCTCCCTCCACCCATTCCTGGGGGGCAGGGCTACAGAAGGAGCAGAGATGAGAATGATGAAGAGTTGTGTAGGGTTCGGGGAACCTGCACGTTCGACCCCTTTTCCTTCGCCCCACTCAGAATGGAAGGTCAAAAAACCAGATATTTGCAAAGGGCATCAGTGGAGTTAAGAAGTCATCTGGACACGGTGACTGTCACAAAGCTTTCCTTTCCACCCGTTCTCTCCCCCCAGTATGAGTCAGTCACCTCTATCAGGGTCACAGGACTGGCTGCCAGGCTCGTGCCCCGCGAACAGAATGGATTTGGCTTTAGGCATCGGCGGGAGAAAGGACACTAAGGGCGAGAGGACAGGGCAAGGTCTCCTTCTCCCCGGAGGGAGAAGGCAGCGGGGAGGAAGGGAACGACCCCAGCGGGAGGGTGCTGGGGGCGGGATTCCCTGCCGAGCATCTGCCAGTGGCCGGTGACTCAGTGAAAGCGGCAAGGGCCGGGTGGGGCCGCTCGGCACGGAGGTGACCGGGCGGCGGGGACCCCAGGCGGGCGCGGCCGCGGGGCTCACCGTGTCCTTGGACGAGCCCAGCTTCTTGAGGCCGTCCAGGGGCAGCAGGTCGGCGGAGTCCTTGTGGATGAACTGCACCGCTTGCTTCATCCGGCGCTGCTGGCGCAGCGACGCCGCCTCTCGCATGTCGGTCTCCTTGCGGCCACCCTCGGTCAGGAGCCCTGAGTAAAACATCGCTAAGGCGCGCGGCCGAGCGACCCCAGTCGCCCCCGGCTCCCTGCGCCCTCAGCCTCGAGCTCCTCCGGCTCCGCCAGCGCCCCGCGCCGCGCCTTTTGTAGCCGAGCGTGACGTCACGGGGAGCAGCCAGTGCGCGCGCCGGGGGCGGGGCCTGCACAGCGCCCCGCCCACGCGCTCCTCCGCGGGGCCCTGCGTCCGCTGCCCACCTCGGTGCCACGCGCCCGGGGCAAAAGCGAGTTAGTGACGGCCAGCGCTGCAGGGACTGACTCCGAGGGCCAAGGGTCTACGCAGCCGCTTCACTCAGAGCTCCCCCCGCCGCTCCCGTGTGCGTGCCCCGCATCCCTGGACTGAGATGGGCACAGGGCCGATGTTCCAGTAGTCCCTTCCACCCTAGCTGCCGCGCGGGGCCCTGCTCACCTGTCCACGCCGTGGCTGACCCGGGGATCACCGACAGCTGGGCCATGCCCGAGTCCCGCCGCTCGCACCGCTGCTCTGCTTGCAGATTCGGCCCCCCACTCCCCACCGACCCTCCCGGAGCCCCCGCGCCCACGGCACGGAGGGGAGGACCGCGCTCTCCAAAGTTGCGGGAGGTGGGGATTTCTGCAACTTCAGGTCGGTCCCCACCCACAGGGCCACGTGACTGGGGAGGGGGCAGCCGGGCGGGCGGGCTGGAGCCCGCCTTCCGGGACCCTCCTCCTCCTGGCACCTCTGCCCAGGGCCCAGCACCCGCGTCTGAGCCAGGGGTGGGGGGCAGGTCCGGCTGGAAACCTGAAGACCGGCCCGGGACTGCGAGGGCAGAGGGTCCCGACTCCGCTGAAATGCACAGGACCTGGAGCCCTACACCTACTCTCCAGGCTCGCCCCGCAGAAAGCGCCTGTTTTTTCTCAGCAAAGGCTAGGGCTTGCCGCGGGGATGGGAGTCTTTCACCTGCGTCTCCAGCCACCTTGTGGGAACAGTTAGAACCCTTTTTCTTCGTGAGTCTGTTATACTTTTGAGACACACTGAAGGGTTCTGGCATTGTGGAGTCTGGTCTTGACTCTGTGCCTCGTTACAAACCACTTTTCAACCCTGGGAACACCACAGCTACACTCTCCACCGAGTCTCACGGGAGCAGGTCTGTATTCTGAAGAGAACCAGCAGTAAGAGCAACCAGGGCACTTGTGGAACTTTTACATGAGCCAGGTTCTGGAATAAATAAAATGCATTATCTCCTTGAATATTGGCAACAGCTTATAAGATACTATTATCACTATCTCCTTATTACAGGCAAGTAAGAGACCTCTTAACTGGCCTCCTCCATGTCCCCCGGTTCCCTTCCTATCCATTGTTGGCTGTAATGCCCAAATAATCTCCAACTGCAAAGGCCATCAGCTCACCTCTGTGCCACAGTACCTCAGAAGCTCTCCTACTGCTCTTAGGGAAAGACCCACATTCCTGTGTGGTCTCCCTGCAGCTGCCCCTCTGCTCTGCACTTGAGCATCATGGGCCTTCCCAACCCTTCTCAGAGGAGCCATGTCCCTCTTGCCAGGTGGCTTGCCTCTGCACAGAACGCCCTTCAGCAAATACCTATGTGTCTTCCAGACCTCAGCTCCATTATCATTTCTCCAGGAGAGCTATCACCGATCTTAAATTATACCACACACCCTCTTATCTCTCCTGGATTTTTCACTCTCTGTGTGTCCAGTACAGTTTGTTTGATTAATATTTATCTCTTCCATTGACTGTAAACTCCAAGGTGTCTGAGCCCACTTTTGGCCTACCATTGAATTCTTAGTGTATAGAAGACTCTCAGTAAATACTAGTACAGGTATGACAGAAAGTTAGTGTTGTGCCCGGAGAAATCAAGCAGTGGAGCCTGGATCTGCCCTTAGAACCTGTATCCTACTTCCGGAACCTGGAAGGGCTGGGCTTGATCTCATGAACCCGCTTCTGCCTTTAACACTCACCCTAAGTTTGTAGAGCACAGACTGCTTATAGAGAAACAAATCAAGAAAGCTGCTCCCCGGCTTCCCGAGAGCCCAGAGCCAGATTCCTCTTCTACTCCCTGTGCTCCCCCAAATATGGAGGGCAGGGTCTAAAGGAGGTGGGTGGGATTGCTGCTCACCTTCCTGCCCCTGGCTCACTTCTAGTAGTGAAGGACATGGCCACCCTGGCTCCTTCTGTCCCCTTGCCTGGGTCCCTGCCCGATCGCTCCTGCAGGGGCAGGTTGCTAAAGGAGGAGTGAGAGACAGCTTTGCCTGGTCTCCAGGACAGGTGGCTCTGAGGTTGGCACAGCATCAGGACAGGCCCGACAGTGAGGGCTCAAATGGCTTGGGCTGGAACTGCTGCTTTCCTCCGGGAGGAAGCCAGGCAGCTAGAAGCTCAGGGGGAGGAGCTGGAATCCCTGAAGTGGCCCAGCTCTGTCCTGCAGCCTTTATTGCCGAGTATGTCCCAACAGAAGACAGCGGCTTTTTTCATAGCTAGATCCCCCTGGGAACACCAGGAAGCTGACTCTCTGGTTGAACTGGAATTTGGCCATATCAGGTGTTGCTGAAAAATGAGTGGGGCCTGAATGGAGCTGGGAATCTTTTTGTGAATTCAGAGCTCTTTGGGATTTGTGTTTTGCAGTAGGATTTGTGGCCACGATATTTTTTTTTTTTTACAACTTTTTTTTTTTTTGTTTTGTTTTTGTTTTTTTTTGGTTTTTTCTCGGTACCGGGAACCGAACTCACGACCTTGCGCTTGCCAGGCAGGCGCTTTTGCCACTGAGCTAAATCCCCAGCCCCGGCCACGATATTAATTGGTCCCTTCACCAGTCAGAGCCCTTCCTTGGGCAAACTGATACCATCCCTGCCCCTAAGTGTAAGTCAGTGTGGTCTGAGTTTCTGCAGAATACAGACTGGTTGCTTAGTATGAGGAGAATCACCTCTGGTTGGAGTACCCAGTTTGCCCAAATGACCGAGCAGGTCCACCCTCTGAGCCTCAGTTTCCATTCAGTTATGCATAGTCAGTTACGTTTTATAAACACCCTCAGGGCTCCACCAATAGAAAGAATAGTATTAACTCTTCAGATAGCCAAACTCCCCTACCCCATTGATTTGTCTTGCAGGAAGTGTAGGTTAGTGGTGAAAAGCACAGGCTTGGAGTCCAATATGTTCTGTTTCAGTTTCTACTCTGCCCTTACTATGTAACTTCACACTAGGAGCATTCAGTTCCTCATCCAGAAAGTGGCACCAGTAGTATTTCAGTGCTGTTGTGGGAATTCATTAATTAAATAATACATGAACTACAATGGTCTGTAGCACAGGCCTGGGAGAAGACACTACCACCATGACTTGGGACAGCCTTTAAAAAACCCACAGGTAGCTGTGCTCCTAGCATGGGCCTGGGCTGTGCTCCCTGCAGAGCTCCAGGCCCACAAGTCAGACCCAAGCATCTCTCCCTTCCTGGGGGTGAGGCCTCCTGAGGCAGAGGCTGGCCAGCCCTCTTCCTGCTGCGGATCGCTCCAGGTTCTGGGGTTACTGTGTCAGGTGGCTCTGTTCCAAAATTCCCTGCAGCCCACCTTGACTGTGTAGAGGATGTAGAGCTGAAAAGAATACCAGACAAGCCAAGGCTGTTTCTGTGACGGTTGTTTTCATGTTCTTCTTGTAAGTGCCAGAAATGCAATTGGAAACTTCCTAAGCAGAAATGCAAATTGTTTTATCCATCTCATGATGAAGTGCAGGGTTTTAGGCACAGCTGGATCTGAGGACTCAAGTGACATTATCACTTGCTTCAGCTCCGGTGCTTCTGAGCTGATGTGCCAGGAGGCAGCTCTTCCTCTCTGATAGCTGTCGGCAGCTTCAGGCTCACGGCCTCTTCTCAGCAGCCCTCCTGTGCCTCTTCAGCTAACATGGAGGCTTTTGAGGTGGGAGAAAGGGTGAGAGCAGAGGCCAGAAAAATAGAGAAGAGAGCAGGGGACAGAGGCAGCACTGCCGAGGAACTTCTATCCTTTTCCCTTCCCACCGTGCATGTTGCCCTTGGCAGTACCCAGGTTAGCCCTCTCGGTTCACCACCCACATCCTTATAGCTGAGAACTGGCCCTCTTCCCTCTCTGGTGGTTTCAACACCCTCACCTTTGGGCAGACAGATTTTTCAAACAGTTGTTCCCCTGCAGGTTCCAGATGTGTGCCAGGGTCTCTGGCTACACAGTGCCTATGAGTTGGCACCTAGCCCTAGAAACATCAACTTTGGCAGGTTAAAGCAAAGACAAGAGATTTTTCTGTCTCTTGAGGGAATTCCAAGCATCACCATGGCCTCAAAGAAAAAATAGGGCTGATGGCAGCCCAGCTGGTGTTTTCCAAAGTTGACTAAGTCTTTTGGATCCATTCCTGTTAGCAATGATTTGGTTTCATTTTCGGAGAGGAAGACAGACTTTGACCTCAAATCAGACAGCAGGAGAGGAGAGAAGGGTGGGAGGACCTCGTATCTGCAGCGGGAGGGTCTGGGGGAAGTTGGGAGGGGAGTCTAGGCTTGGCTTTGTGTCTGCCCTTTGCTCGCTGTGGGAACTTGCTGAGTTCCCAGAGCTCTCTGGGTCTCAGTTTACCCTTCCTGGTTTGTATAAGATAACATGGAAAGCACAGAGGCCCGGCATATTAGCTCTCAGTAAATATGAGTGCCATCACTCTCTCCTCCCCCAATCCAGTCCACGCAGAGAACCTGGAAGCAGAGCGGCCCTACTGAGAAGGGGGCAAACCCTTGATGTGGAAGCGAGACCTGCAAGGATGGGAAGCAGCTCAGAGTCCAGCAGAGCCTAGGCTGGCCCTGCTATGCCACATCTCCACTCAGCCCCAGCCAGAGCAAGCACAGCCTCGGGGAAGCTCACAGTGCCCACCTCAGGAGGGGTCACCGAGGGTGTCGCCTTCGTCCCCAACTAAGCCTCCTGCTTGGGTGTGACAGGTCAGTGGCCCGTGCAGGGTAGGCCATAGGGCCTGGGGGCAAATGCAGCAGGGAGGTGAAGCACCCTGTGGAACCCGGGTGGACTGTCAGGTGCAGACACACGCACACGCACGCACGCTCAGCCTCACCCTGACCTATTTTCACACAGCTCCGCCCAGCAGGACAGAAA